TCATGTTCACTGATGAAGAACAACTGAGGAAATCAAGACAAAATGTGGCCAACAAAAGGCCATTATTTATAAAAATCTGCCTCTGCTAAAAGGACTCCAAACGTTTCAGGTGTACACGCAAAGCAGCTCGGCTCTACGTCTCGCAGTAGAGAACATGCATATACAAAAACACCGTAAATTAACAGTGAGCTAATTCACAGCACTCACTATCTTACCGGCCAACATGTTTACCTTCATTTTATTTATCTGTTATGTGCATGTATATCCTTACACAGGTAAAATACATGTTTAATATATTATCTATATGCATATAGAGATAACTTCATTATACCACAATACCACTGCCACAAACATGCTGTTTCATGTGTGAGGGAGCACGTGCACATACAGGTACAAGTGGACATCTTTAATATGAATTATCAAAAAGTTAAATCTGAATGTGAAACAGACAGGAGGTGCCCATTCCTCTCGTTATGTTGTCCAGCCTTCCTTGCTCATCCTATCACACTCAACCATGCTCCTTAAGAACAGGAAGTCTCAGCTCTTGTTAGAGAAAATGAAAATTAGGCCCTGGCTATTAGATTCCCATTTTAGATTCAGAGACTGAGTTTAAACAAACATTTCATGTCAAAAGACTTTAGAATTTTTACATCTTTAAACAGTCTTTCCCTCCCCATTCATCCTTACTTTTCAGACACATTGTTCAAACAATATCAAAACATATATATAATTTTCATTATGAAAGTAACACAGGTGGGAATCCTATAACCTGCTAGGCTGCCTTAATAACCTCCAAAAAAAACATTTATTTTAGCCAAACAATTGTAATGTTGGTCTCCTTTAGAAACATCTGCTGTCCCAATAAATATTTGCATTGGAAGAAGTGTTTTGGCTGTTAAGATGGCACCAAATAAAATGCTTATGTTCTAAAATAAATATTTTAGACAAAATACACACAGCAAAACAGACATAGCCAAAGGCTACAGAAGATAAATTAAAGACACAAATTTAAATGTCTACTGATTTTTAAGGTTTTTTTTAAAGAAACTAATTTTAATTCCATTTTATTTTAAAACAAAATTAAATAATATCTATTTCATTTTGCCAGACTATCTTTCAAAAACAATGATTATATTCCATGGTCTTATCATTGTAAAGGTCTTCACAATACAGGTATGTTTTTAAAAACTAAAAAAGTCATCATTTTCCATTATAAAAGCACTCATGGACTTAAATCTCTCACCTTACCCTCATTCCCTTTCCCTGGTTTTATAATGCCAACAGGCATCAGATTATACAAACATCTGCAACAAGGTAAGGACAGTTAAAATATTGGCCCAATAACCCTTGATAACTCAAGAAACATCTCAGACGACATAACCTGCCTGGCACAAATAAATATACCTTTGTTTCTGTAGTCTATTTCTCCTGGGCGCTATTTCGTTTATATGAAAAATCTTTTTCAAAGCAAGCCACACAGACCTATGTATACATTTACGATCACAAAGGACAAGGAAAATGAAACAAACATTTGTTCACTCATGTCCCTGATCCAGGAAAAGATATTTTGCTGTCTACGTTTTTTAAAATAACTGAATACCTCAGAAAGAGGCAAGACCTAGTACTTGTCCCCTTGAAGATCACATATCTTCTGTGTAGCCTGTCTGAGAGGAAATCAGCCAGTGGACTCCTTTCTGTTAACCATCCCAGGTTTGAATTCCAGGAGCTGGAGGCAGAATGCTCCCCACAGAGGCACAGAAAATTCATTTCCCCTTGAAGCTCAATAAAAACCCAAGTAGGCTAGTTTTCAGGGCACCGTGCAAAACTAATCTGTTTAGTCATGTATTTGCCTGATGATGTGGGAGAATCAGCAAGTGAAAGACCACAAATCTAGTTCCAGTTAATAAACACCAAAATGATGTACCATTATCACGTCATGCTTCAAAGACCCAGTCATGAGTTTATTCCAAAAATAAAATTATCACCATACAAATCACGAATTGCCAGGTTAATACTAAAATCACACACTGAGTGGCCAGCTCCTCCTGACCCGCAGAGACAAAAAGCAAGCAGTGATACCACCCATGTTAAATCTCCTATAAGCATGGCTGTTCTTTCTAACAGAATACTCATTTAAAATTCCTGTCACAGGAGTGGAATGCCAGCCAGGAATCAAACTGTGACCCCTGAGCCAAAGACAACTTACCACTCAGCTGGTAAGTGGGCCACTCAATTTACAAACTTGAATTCCTGCATTTTGATCCTTTGCAGAAATATAGGAGCAATATTAAACCAACCGGATTCAGCTCATTAGAGGTTCAGAAACCAAACACAGAAAGCTCTGGAGGCCACCCAAGGCAAAGTCATGCCTCGGTGTTGATGGCCACACAATAAAAACTCCATGTCATCATTATCTTCCAACTTTTTTCCTGAACAACATTAGCAACCATGACTACAACAATGCTCAGACAACTACACAATCCTAGGAGAAGACAAATAAGACCAGCAGCCAATCACTGTGCCAGGGCTTTGTGGTTAAGTTCATAATTACCCACACAAAGCAACTCACTGAAAATTCCTCACCAAAGGACACAGACTAAAGCTAACAAAATAAATGTGTTCTAATAACCTTTACCAATACCTTCACTTTTTTCCCATTTCAAAACCTACACCTAACTGACCACATGAACTTACTATGTATGATAAAAGCTGTGTGTTTTCAAATGTTACATTCAAAAAGGCATTCAATTAGGTTTAATTTAGCCTTTTAGATTTCAAAACGAAATAGTTTATTTCAAGGATGTATAATAACTAATGAAAAGATGAAAAGCAATAAAGGGTTTTAGAACCCTCCATCATGATGAACTCAATACGAAAGTTTGACATTTTCTAGCCAAAGCATTGTTTCCTAGCAGATACTTCACTTTCCTTTCACCATCAGAAAGATCTGTGTTTAGAATCAGGCATTTCTATTGGTTAGCAGTAAAATACCTAATCTGAAAATCTTAATTAAACATTTGCTAAAATACTTGGTAGGTAATATTCATCAAATTGTCCCTTCCAATAAATCCATACTCACTGGATTTCACAAGGACATAAGAGCTACAGGGATTAACTAAAACAAAAAAACTAAGAACACTGAGGGTACTCTATGTATTGGTAATATGTCCTCCGCTTTAGCCTTACACATGTGTGCTAAGCACCTTCCTAGGTAATCATTCTTCACACACCTTCTCCAACTGTTCGATTCCCACTTTGGTACTACAAACTAAGCCAATGGCAAACACTTCTAGGAAGACTGGAACTCATTCAGAGGACAGATAAAGGAGCAGCCAGCAGCTTGCCAGAAACAGCCCCTTTCGAAATGGCTTCCCAATTTCCCATCAGGAAAGCAGCGGGGAGAAAGGGGCAGAAGCAAGGAGTGACCAGCATCGCCCCCTCTCCATGGTCCTGCTGCTGCTGCCTTTTTTTGTTAGATTTTTTTTTAAGGTCCTGCTACTTCTTACTAGCTTTCTGCCTCTGCTCTCCCTGTGGCCAGAGCATCACATGGAACGATCAGCGCCCCAGTGAAGTCGCCAGGGCAGAATTAGGGCTTCCGCGGCCAGCTGCACTGGCCTTCTTCCTCTCGCCTCACTTTTCAATCCTTTACAAATTATCTCCCTCTCACAATTAGCAACCTCAATTAAAGATTTGTACTCTAGATAGTAAGGTATTGCTGGGAGAAAGGAGTAATGTTGGAAAAGTTTAGAGTAGCTTATGCTAGACTCCTGAGCGGCCCATCTTTAACAAGCAGGGTGAGAGCTTCCGACAGTAACGGAGGCAGGTAAGGAACCAGAGTGGGATTCTAAGGCGGAGCTACTTGTCTTTCACTACAACCGTGGGAAATAAGAGCATGGCCAGCGGTGGACCAAGGTAAAGAGGAAAGACACTATTCAGCCTCTGAAAGAAAAGGCTCAGGGGCACCTTAACCAGGAACTTTTAATGCAGCACGTGGAATATGATGTACATTCTCCAATCCACTTTGGAGAGAACAAAAGTGCCAGTTTTATTTCCACGAAGGGTTTTTGGTCAGACGTCAGGAAGCACCTCCTGAGAGAAGGGCTGTGAAGGTCTGGAGTGGGCCATGGCAGCGCCACGGAAACCCCTCTCCCTCTGTGGAGGCGGCAGCCCAAAGCACCCTGGGGCTATGGGCACGGGGAGGGGGCTTATGAATCAGCCTTTCTGGTGTTCCTAGTGACTAACTCCCCTGCCAAGTCTAAGTCACCTTTCCCGGATTTCCTGCTTCCTCGGGTAACATACAGGGTACACTCTCCAGCGCCCAGGAGACAAGGTTACTACTGCTATCAGGCAGATGGTCACTTAAGGCAACTCCAACTGTTTGATTCTAGAGAAAAATCCTGGGTCTTGAGAACGGGAAAAGTCTTTTTTGTTTGAAGTAAAAACAGAAAACCCATGAAAATCTAAGAGAACAGATACACATCAAATCCTCTTATATGAAATACAGAAACCTGTTTCAAAAGGTACAGAAGACATAAAAGTAAAATAACTTTTTGGGAGGCTAAAAAATTTTTTTTAAGTTGATGCTATCTTCATGAGAAAGACCTTTAAATAACTTAAAACTTTGCCTTAGGAAGTCTATTCACAGCTCAAACTCTGACAGTCTGACACCAGAAATGTTGGAAAGGCAAGTTCACTTCAGGGCTAAGGTCTATATAATTTGCTGCAAAATGATGACAGGGTACATCTTTCAAAGACAGCTGGCAACACGGGCCTTCTACCAAACTGTGTTCTAAGAAGCTCACTCTTCCTTCTTTAAAAGAAATTAGGGGAGGGTTGTACCTGTGATTATTTAAATATATATATATATATGAAAATTGAAGAGAGCAGAAAATCAGTGACATGCCCCCTAATTCTCCCAATACCAACCTCAGGTGGACAACAAAGACAAGACAGACCTATCCCCAGTGAGGAGATGGTGGGGGAGAACGAGAGGCACAAACCTGCTGCTGTGGGTACTGCATTCCTCCCATGGCCCCTGGGGTCCGCCCTTGGATGCCGATAGGATACCGCTGTGGGCCTGGGGGGCCGTAGGAACCTCCGGGGTATGGGCTGCTCTGCTGAGGCTGAGAATGAGGGTTACTGCCCATCCCATACAACTGAGGCCTCTTCATCACCATGGGATCCATTGGGCTGCCCTGTGAAAGAATAAGTGAAGAAGTAAGCTTACTAAGTCATTATTTGTTACAAAGGCAGAAAGTTTGTCATGATAACACATACATTAAAAACACAACTATCCTTTAAAAAATATTATAAACAATGATAAACCAAAACCCAGAAAAGCATTAAGGAAAATACCTACATGGACACAAGACATTTTATTTTTCTACCTTTAGGAAGGTTTTAACAACTAAGAGGAGCCAGCAGTAAACATAAGGAAAGACTTGCATCCTAAACAGAGAGAAAACATTTGCCTCTAAATTCTGTTATGCTTGTGGGAGTAAGTCTCACCCCGCTCCTCTTAGCTTACTAGCAACAAAGGCAAGTGTTACTGAAAGGTTAGGAACACTAACCTTTAAAAGTATTCTTAGAACTACTTTATTTTCGACCTGAGTCGGCAAGTCCTTATCATACATTAATGCATCTAAGTGCTCATTAGAAAGTGAAAGGATTTTAAATAATACAGAATGTCTAGGGTAAAAACTTTCAGCGATCACTAGTGTGCATGAACAAGCACCAGGACTATGAGTCAGTCACAAGCCACCTTCCTGTGTAAGTCAGCATCTTACCAAACATAACCAGTTCAAAACTAGACTCTGTTTTATTCTTGTCTTGGTGAGTCAGCCAAGGGCCTCGGGGCCAAGGCCATGCGGGAGAGCCAGAGCCGGAGCCGGAGCCTGGGCTTTAAGATCCCAGGGCCTCCAAAGAGCCAGGCAGGGGTGGGGAAGTCCCTCGCCAGTGCTACAGGGCCTGCAGCGCTCACCCAACAGGTCGGTCACTCCTTCCTTCCCAAACCCTATGCTGCTCGCTACTGCGGGCCAGACTCCATGTTCACACTGAGTTCATGGGAACTCTCAGGAAGATTTGAGGATTAGCAGGAGAAATAGGAGAAACCCATGTTCAAGATGGGGAGGGGCAGGGCGTAGAATACCACAAAGCAGAGAAACAGCACAAAGCAGGGGCTCAGGGGAGAGGAGCTACCTGGTGTGTATGAGGCAACAAGCAGTTTAGATCCAAATGAAGCAGCAATTTGCAGAGAAGCTGAAGCAGGCAGAAGCCAGTATATACAAGGTGAGCCTTATATGTCATTTTAAAGGCTTCAGGTTGTACCTTGGGGATAAACAGAGCTACAGTCAGATCTGCCTCTCTGAAGGCTGATCTCGGGCGTGGCTGGAGCCAGGGTGGAGGCCACAGCAGGCGGGTGAGCTGAGGTCCTGAACTGGTAGGGCAGCAGAAGAAACAAGCCCAGATTCAAGTGACAGGCCGGGAGTGCGGGGCACCTTGGAGACTGAGTGGTGGAAGCCAGGAGCAAGGGGGCTTCACAGATGCTGAGGCAGCATGCGGGGCAGAAGCACATCAACACTCCCAGGAAGTGGGACCCTTCAGGATTCTACAGATTAAATTTGAGGTTCCCACTGGAAATCCAGGAGAAAATACCCAGAAGGAAGACACACAATGATTTTCCATCCTGGCGGTCAGGTCTGGCCTACAATAACAACTAGGGAACTCTGCATACAGAGGACATATGGTCCTGGAAGGCAGCGATCTTTTTGTTTTACTCACTATTATATCTCCAGGACAGAAGTCAAACAGTGCACTTGGCATATAGTAAATGCTCAATAAATCCTAGATGAATTAATCAACGGGAATCATGTGAAACAAGAATTTTATCCAGGAAGAATATATGAAAACAGAAAAATAGGTGGAGGACAAATATCTAGAAAATATCACCAATTAAGGGAGAAGGCGGGGGGGGGGGGGGGGGGGCGGCGCAGGAGG